GGAATCTATCTATCTATCTGTCTATCTAATATGTATGGAATCTATCTATATCTATATATCTATCTATCTATCTATCTATCTATCTATCTAACTATCTATCTATCTATCTATCTATCTATCTATCTATCTAATATGTATAGAAGATAGAGAAATAGAAAGATAGTTGTAATATGTATGGAATATCTCTCTAACTGATTGATGAGAGAGTTAGAGAGAGAGAGAGGGAGAGAGTGGGAGAGAGAGAGAGAGAGAGAGAGAGAGAGAGAGAGAGAGAGAGAGAGAGAGAGAGAGAGAGAGAGAGAGAGAGAGAGAGAGAGAGAGAGAGAGAGAGAGAAGAGAAGAGAGAAGATAGATAGATAGATAGATAGATAGAGAGATAGATGATAGATACTTTTGTGCCATGGCCTCTTCACCATTAGGCGAGTTGAGTCTCCTTTTGGCCATGCCAATACTCTACTTAACACATTGCCCATTGCCATATGGCACTTCATTAATCCATTGATTGACCATTGACGGTGCGGTGGTGTTCTCCATCCCAGTGTTTGACCACAGTGAAGAGATGGGCTTGTCATAAAAAATAAACTCCCCATCCTCTCCAGCGATGTGACTCATTTGGAAAGCTGTTCACTAGACAAAAGTGGGGGTCTTCGATTTTCTTCCACAGATCATTTACCAACGAGGCATCAATGATCACACTACACCAAGAGACGCGCCTAATATGCAAATGAAGCCGGGCTCTTCTCCCGACGGGACTGATTCACCAGCCAATCAGAACGTGAGGTGGGATCTGCGGCACGTCACTTCACCAGCATCCCCTCCATTGGTCTTGTGCTATAGGTGAAAGCAGACACGCCCCCGCTGGGTGATTGACAGCTCAAAGTTGTCCCTCCATCCCCTCGCCTTAAGGAGGTGGTAGATGTAGAAAAGACTGTATTACCTTTGAGAGCTTGGTCTGTGTTGTCAGATAGGGGGAGAGTGAACAGAAAGAAGGTAAAGAGGTGGGAGGAGAGAGAAAAGTGCCTTCAGACTCGGAGAGGGTTATGTGAAATCACACAGCAGCCCAAAGTGCTTTTAGCTTGCTGGATGTGAGCTGTGAGCGCATGTGAGTAGCAGGGAGGAGATGAAGAGGTGATCAATGTGTGCAGCTTGTCTGATGGAACTTGGAGCCCCTGCTTCCTGTACTGCAGTCCACAGCTCAGCTAACTTTGCCTCTACGTGGAATCTGTATTAAGGACAATACATGACTGCACATCACACTGATCCCTCCAAGCTTGGGACTGGACCCCGCCATTGATCCTTCCCTCTGCTGGCACAGGGAGTGTGGATACAACTCTTTGACTTCTAAAGCTTTCGAGGAAAAGAGAGACAAGACTCCAGACTACTTTCCTCCTGCTGATGAACTAGAAGAACCAGCGTTTGTTAGACGTCCCTCCATTGTCCTTCCATTTGTTTCCCAGTATTGTGTGAATCTCACTTGCCCGGTGATGTTAGCTCTAGGGCAGATGGATGGCACAAGGCAGAGCGCTTTCCTCCTCAGCAGCCCTCCCTTGGCAGCTCTACATAACATGGCAGAGATGAAAACTCCTCTGTACCCAGCCTATGCTCTGCCCAGCCAGCCCTGTTCCTCTTCTGCCTCCTCGTCATCCTCGTCCTCTTCTTCATCCTCCTCACCTTCTCCGCCACTGGGATCGCCAACTCACGGGTCCCTGAAGCTTTCGTCCTCTTCACCTTCCTCTGGTGGCCTGTCCTCTCTGGGCACCCCACCACCCCACGTCTCAATAGCTACCCCCCATGGAATCCAGGACATCCTGAGCCGGCCATTGATGCACTGTCTGCCCTCTCTGGCAGGGACAACTCTGACCTCCAGCACTTCTGTGTCCCCAGCTGCTATGGCCTCTACCTCCTCTCCTGCTGGCCTCCTGGCAGGGCTCCCCCGATTTAGCAGCCTAAGCCCTCCTCCACCACCCCATCCTGGACTCTACTTCAGCCCCAGTGCAGCAGTCGCTGTGGCCCGTTACCCCAAACCTCTGACAGAACTACCAGGCAGGACCCCAATCTTCTGGCCAGGAGTGATGCAGAGTCCACCATGGAGAGATGCCAGGCTATGTGCACCCCGTAAGTATTACATGTTGGGTCAGGGGCTGATGGGCACAAACTAACATTAAGTACCAATGTTAGGAGCAGGCCTGGGAGATGTTCAACACTGATGGAATATGTGAGAAATTAAAATCGTTATAAAGTATAAATATTTGTTAAAAAGATTTAGAAATTGTAAATCTACATTTACATTAAACAGATTTTTTTTTTAAAATGTAATGATACCTTTATACTAAGCAGATTTGGAAATCGTAATTCTACATTTATATTAAACAGATTTAGAAATTATAATTCTACATTTATATGAAACAGATTTAGAAATGGTAATTTCTACATTTATACTAAACAAATTTAGAAGCTGCAATTCTATACAATAAACAGGTTTAGAAATTATAATTCTTCATTTACTTTGACAGTTAAAAAGTAATTTTTATGTGTGAGCAATTTAAAATGCTGGACGCTATTTGAAATCCACTGCAGTACAGTATAACAAAGATTATTCCATGAAGAATAAGTATACAAAGTGTTTTTTTTTAGAAATCTAGTCAGGAAAAATATTCAGGAAATATTCCAGTTAAGAACTATAGCAGAGTAGTATTTTATAAACTGAGGAGCAACTTTTTATTATATAAATGTAACTGATGGAATTTGTGAATAAGTCTTTCCTTAAAAATTAGAAGTACATAATGGAGTTTTTACAACCGTGTTTTGTTGTGTCTCTTTCAAACCTGCATGTACAAAATATCACAAACCCCATTCAGGGAAACAACAAGCAGTTACATCACAGGAACAAGCGTGTTATCTTTCTTACTGGATGTGGTTTAATTATTTGACTGTACATCAAAAGGATTCACTTTGGTGTGTCATCTGTGCAAAAATCACGGCTATAACTATATTTAAAAGTAACCAAAA